CCCCTGCTCCTTCTACTTCTTCCTCTCTTCTTCTACTTTCTCATATAACTGATGCTGTATGACTGGTTTATCAATAAACAGGCCAGGATCTTGCTCTTCAGCACCATCTTGCTTTATGTAGCCTGCTCCACAACTCCAGTTTCTTTATCAGTGTGGTGTTGCCCAACACAATAAATGGCACCTGAACAGGGACCCTGCATCCTGCTTCTCAAGCCTAGAGAAGGGAATTGGACGTCCTCCCAAGCCTGGCCAAAAAGGCTTCACAGACCCAGAGGATGTGATGAAGGAGTAAGAAGGTATTTTCAATCGTGAGACCAAGATCTTTAGCAATTTGTCAAACCAGACTAATTGGTGTCTTTCTATCTCTCATGGAAAGACATGTCCTCAGAGGTCCTCGTCTGAATGGAGCGGCAATGTTTTAATTGCCCTCCCCATTGCTGCCCCTCACCCTCACCTCTGCCTTTCCTTATTCCTTTCCTTCCATTTTCTCCTCCAAAGGACTTAAAGAAATATTCATGAACACTGTGGTAGTCTGATTCAACCCCTCTTCCCTATGCTGGCAAAATGACCCTAACATAATACCTGGATAATTGTTAACTCTTTTAGCTTGGGCAGCTATAACAGAGACCATAGACTGGGGGGCTTAAACAACAAACATTTATTTTTCATGGTTCTGGAAGCTGGGAAGTCAAGTCATGGTGTGGGCAGTTTTGCTGTCCCATGGGATGTCTTCCTGGCTGGCTGGCTGCCTCCCTTCCTAACATGACAGAGATCATCTTTCTCATATTGCTTTTATTTTATTATTTTTTAATCTTAAAAATATTTTTATGTTTTTTACATTACTCTTCATTTTGTGCATTTTTTCGTCTCAGTTGTAGTCTCCATGCACTTCCTACCACTTCACCCCTGTGCCATCACCATAGTCCTATGTGCTCTTCCCAACCCTATTTTGGTCTTATTCCCTCTCCTCCCCCATAGAATCTCTCTAGTTTATAATTATTAGCTGATGTTCTTTCTTATTTCAGTTAATATAAATATATAAATAATATAAATGATATATATATATATTTATTTATATATATATTTCCTCCCTGGTCCCTTACACTCCTGCTATGAGTGAAACCATCGGTATTTTTCTTTTTCTTTCTGGCTTATTTCACTAAGCATGATTCCTTCCAGTTCCATCCATGTTGCCACAAATGGCATGTGTTTATCTTTTTGACTGCTGAGTAATATTCCCTTGTGTGTATATACTACATGCTCTTGATCCAGTCATCAATTTTGGGACATTTAGTATTGATTCCACATCGTTCCTATTGTAAATAGTGCAGCAATAAACATAGGAGTGCAGGTGTCCTTCTGAATTTATTGTTTTTGTATCCTTTGTGTAGATACCTGGGAGTAGAATTGCTGGATCATATGGAAGCTCCATTTTTAGCAGTCTGAGAAATCTCCACACAACTCTCCATAGTGGTTGCACCAGTTTGCACTTCCACCAGCAGTGTAGGAGAGTTCCTTTTTCTTCATACCCTTGCCAAAATTTATTGTTGCTTGTTTTTGTAATATGTGTGATTCTCACTGGTGTGAGGTGGTATCTCATTGTTGTTCTGATTTGTACTTCTCTGAGTACAAGTGATGTTGTACATTCTTTCATATGCCCCCTGGCCATCTGTATTTCCTCTTTGAAGAAGTATCTTTGTAGCCCTTCTGCCCATTACCGCTTTCATAAGTGCACAATTTCATTTGTGAGGGCTCCATCTTCACAACCTAACCACATCCTATAGTTCCACTTCTTGGCTCTACACTGAAGATTTGAGTTTTAATATACAGGTGGAGAAGGAGGTTGAGATCACAAACTTTCAGTTCACAGCCATTACCTTGCATAATAAGAGACTTTGCAAATGAGATCAAACTAAGGATCTTGAGCTGGGAGATGATCCTGGATTATCTAGGCAGGGATGTGTTAATCACTAGGATCCTTGCAAGAGGGAACAAGAAGGTCAGGTTAGGAGTAGCAGATATGATGATGGAGGAGATTGGTGTGATGGAAGGAGGTAGTTAACAAAGAAAGAGTTAGTGTTCTAGAACCTGAAACAGGCAAGAAAACAGGTCCTTCCCAAAAGCCTCAGAAGGAAACTGTTCTGTCAACACTAACCTAACCTAATAAGCAGCTTTTGCAATTCTGACTTTTGGAATTATAAGAAAGTACATTTATGAGTTTTTAGCCATTGAATCTATGATCAAATGATAACAGCTGAAGGAGGAAATAAATACAAAGACAGACTGAGAATTGGTTTCAGATTAAAGGAGGTTAAAGAGTCATGGCAGATAAATACTGGGGCTTTGTACAGAATAGCTTTCTGCTTAAAAAGGTGACAACAAATGATTTTAGAGACATTATAGCTGCAATTTATTCTCAAGTGGTCACCACACACAGAGAGAGATTACTATATACATATAAAATCAAAAGGAATGAGGAAACAAATGGTGTGAAATATTACCATTGGGACAAACTAAGAAATCTTTATAGTCATTACAATTCTCCATGTGTGAAATTAGCCCAGAGTTAAAGGTGTATATGTGCTAAAATTCAGATAGCATCTTGGTGAGTTTCTTGCTACTGATTCATGTTTTGAGTCATATGAGCCAATATCAGATGGAACCACATTTCTAATGATTTTATCAGAAATACAAATTCAACAAACATTTTTTTATGATTTTTCAAAGCTTCTATCAGGACAGGACAGGACAGGAGGAACAAACTTGCAGCACTCGCCCTCTGCTCTCAAAATGCCCAGCAATACAGTTCCTCCACCAGCACACCCCAGTCTCCTCTGCTCATCCACTGGCTCAATCAGATGATTTTTCCATTTTTTATCTCTTTTGATACAGCCTTACCAGGCTTACCAGGCTGCAGTGGTAAATTGCCTCCTACCTGTGTTGGGGAGGAAAGGAGTCTCCCCCTTCTTCTCTGCCTGCTTAATGAATCAAACTACTATCAGACAAGTTAGCAGGCGAACACAGTGTTATTTCAGACATATGGAATCTAAGCAGACATGTGGGATCTGAAGTCAGTGCGAAAAAAATTGGGGTATATATCCTAGGCTGAGAAACACTGCAGAAGCTTGGGGCTTCAAAAGAGAGATGGGGTACTCACAGGAAGAGGAGCTGAGGAGCAGCAGATACTCCATTATTAGGTGTTTTTCCAGCCACACAGGCAGGCTTCTTAGATAAAAACACTATTTCTAGGTAAAACTCCAATTTTCATTCTTCTAGGTAGTTGAAGCAATGGTACAAGTTTCTGTTAGCTCTTCTGTTAACCTTAGTTCAAAACAGTCCTCATGCCGGCACATTTAGGGAGTTCTGTTCTGACTATCCTGAGAAAGCCCCTCCTTTACCTGGCACTGGAAGTACAGCGAGCCCAGGAGAAGGAGATCTCCCTTTTTTTATGGAAGTCACACCTGGAACAACAGCAGACAGCAATAAGAAGACAGTCTACATTTCAAGTTCAAATTTAAACTGAGTTTTATAAGTTTACTATATGTATATATATGTGTATATATATGTATATATGTGTATATATATGTGTGTATATATATATATATATGTGTGTGTGTATATATATATATATATATATATACACAGAACAGAGCCTGTACCTGGAAGTGCAGTTGTGCAGTTTGAAATTCAGAAGGGGGAAAAAGCTAGGAAAAAGAGATGAACCCTAAAACTGGGCAAATTTCTACCCAAAGTTTTGGTTGATCACTTATTTAATCAGGAACAAGGACATTCAGGAAAAAAGTTTGAAAAAAATCTTGGGGGAAAACACCAACAAAAAATCAGCAGAGATAACAGCAAATTCAGGAAAGACAGTTTAATGTTTGAGACCTGGCCATTGTTTACTAGAACAAACATTAACAACCTTCACAAGAAAATGGAGTTAGAGTTGCTGTAACATTTTCTCCACAATGTCCAGTTTTTCAGCAAAATGCATCAGACATGCCAAGAAAAGGAGAACAAGAAAGCTGGAGTAGCTACTGTGATCTCAGAGACTTCACAAAATTACCAGAGAAAAAAATAGATAGTTCATAACGATTAAAGATATGCAAATGTTAAGTGTATGTATGTCTGGTAGGGGGGGGATTATAACTAAAAAAGAAATAGACAAATTTATAGTTGTTGATCTGAATACTTTCCCCCCATAATTGACAAACTGTAAAAAAAAGTCAGTATAGAAGAGATGAGGGTGACAATCCTTGCGCCAGCCAACTGATAGATGGAGGGGGGTCTTGGAGACAGGTGGAGTCTCCAGAAAACACGAACTAGATTTGAATCCACTGTGCTACTTAAAGGCAGTGTAACGTCATGCAAATCCATAACCCCTCTGAATCTGCTTTTCTTAGAATAGTAATAGTAGATATCTTAGAAGATTGCCCTGCGTAATAAATGTGTTTTGTACAGGGAGTGCCTAGCAATAAGCCCTCCATTGCTATTAACCAGTAGACAAGAGCATTCTCCTCTGTCATTTCTGTCATTTGGATAAGATCATTCCTTTGAACTCCCTCCCCCCCCTCCCCTTTTTTTTCCATCTGTAAAGTCGGTATGGTGTTATCTAGCTGCCCAAATTAGGGCTGGGAGTGAGAACTGCTGTGGACTGGAACCCAAAGCCATGCCCGAAAGAGACTGAATGGCAAGAAAGAGCCACAGGTCTAAATCCCATGCCTGGCTAGGTGGTTAGACAAAACCTTTCTACTTCTTAAGAAATGCTTACATTTCTGACTTTTGGAATAACGGTTGCACTTGGCAAATCATCTCAAACCTTGCATTATTTGCAAACTGGGGATGATACTCTAATGCACAGGAGTGAAAAGAGCGCTAAAGGCATGTTCATAAGGCGCCAGATAGAACGACTGGCAAGGTGAGGATTAGGAGCAGAAGTAACGGAAGCTTATTTTTACTATTGGCAAAAACAAACCCCTCCAGCGGAGAACGCCGTCTGACCGCCAGCTGTGGCTCGGGAAAGAGCGGAGTCTTGCTCCTGCATTCCAGCTTCCTTGGCCTGAGCCTGCTTTTCTCTCTCCGTCCATCAGTTGGCGCCTCCTGCCGTCCTTTTTCCTTGGCTTTGGGGGCTGCGGTGGCTCCGCAGCTCGCAGGTCACATGGCCTGCGCGAGCTAGGGGACCCCCAATACGGAGCTGCGCCGTGGGAAGGGATGAGGCTGCTAGCACCCGAACCGCGCTGAACCCGCTTCTCCCGGGCTTCGGGGTCCTGCGATGGCTCCTCCACGAGGATGAGGCGGTCAGCCTAGGCGACTCTGCAGGCGGCCGCCGGCGGACGCAGGGGACCGATCTGCCCCTCCCCCCTACCCGGTAGGTTTCCCTTTGGCATCCCGGCAGGAGCGCCCACCGGGAGAGACCCCTGAGCGTGGGGACGAGGATTAAGGGTGCCGCGGCTGGCAGGGAGCGAGCAGCTGCAGAGGCCGGGGCAGCCCGGGAAGGCCTGCTCCCCGGCCGTGCGCTCTGGGCAGGCGGCGGCCGCTTCCTTCCGGAGGACTGCGGGGACCCCAGAAGCGCGTCCTCCGCGCGGCCCGTGTGGGCGTCAGCGACGAATGGAGAGCCTAGGTGAGGGCGCCTCCCCACCCCTCGCCTGCTTCGGTTACGCCTCCAGGCCGACAGGAAGGCGCGAACCCAGCGCGCGTGAGCCCAGGTAAGACTCCCCCGCTCTTGCCCAGCCTGGCGGGGCCCACCAGCCCTACGACAGGTCTCCTAATGGCCGCCCGAACGCCGCGAGCGTTCGCCGCAAGTGCCGCCCGCGGGTTCTCCGGCGTCCGCAGGACGCGCTGCTGCAGCGCTGGGTTTCCGAGCGCGACCTCGCAGCCCCGGGACACGGGAAGGGCGAACCCGCGGAGGAATGCGTCCCTCCCTCCCTGCTCCGGGATGGACCAGCCCAGGGGAGCCAGCGTGGTGATGGGGCCCGGTAGCCTCCACCCACGGGTGGGGAAACTGAGGCCCCAGCGCCGCGGGTACTGCCCAAGGTCAGCGGCCGACGCGGGATCCGGAACTCCGCTTTCCTTCTTCCCTCCTCTTTCCTAGTGCCGTAGTTAGGACCACCCAGGCTTGTCTCACGGGTGGTCCTTGGGCTCGGGTGTAGGGGTACCGCATTGCTCACCGAGTGTCCTGGGCGAGCGATCCTGCAGGGTGGGCGTGATCCAGGCACCACCTGCTCCTCCCTTGTTTTCTTTCGGGGGGCCGCAAGGCGGCTCCGACGATGATCTCACTATGCGGATCGTTAGCAAAACCTGCCGGTAGGTGAGCGCTTATTACCCCAAGAGAACTCAACCGTGTTAAGGGGAACCTTCTCTTTTAGGGGGCCCATTCTAGAGGCCACTGCATCAAGTACTTTAGAGGGTGAGAAGAGAAAACTATGCGTGTCTCACTTAACATTGTTAATATTAGGATTTTTAAAAGACAAGTATTAGTGTATATACACAGCATCCTGGAAAAAGAAAGGTGAAGGAGAAAAATAAAGATAAAACTTCATCTTTCTAGATTACTCAGATTTCTGGGAATTTTCTTAAAATTTTCTGTGCCTCCACACTTTTCAACCAATAAAATTAACAAAAATGACGTCTTATTTTATTTGCTTGTCTGATTATCTGAGAGGAATCAACATGTAACCTTTTCTACAAATACCTTTTGCTTTTGTGTGAATGAATTGATTATTATTTCTTTTGCCCAATTTTCGATTTGGGTGACTTTCTGTTCCTAATTTTTAAGTACTCTGTGTTGCACATTAAAGTAGTTTTTCTGCCATATATGGTGTAGTCTTTCCCAGTTTGCCTAGCGTTTGCCAGTTTTTTCATTTTTACCATATAGAAGTTTAATGTTTTAATTTAGTCAAAAGCTACTGTTATTTTTCTTTGTGGATTTTACTTGAGAATCTTATTAAGGAAGGCCTTTCATAATCTAAATTTATATAAATATCCTGTGTTTATATAAATATCCAAATTTATATAAATATCCTGTGTTTTCTTCAAGTACTTTTAGTTTGCATTAAAACCTTTTAAAGTTTATGTTACAGAGAACTAATTTACTTTTCTCAATGGTTAGCCAGTTTCTGTAAAACCATTAATTTTTATCCCTGTTTAAGTTGCTACAAATAATGGCATAAAATTATTGCGTGTTCTGTTTGTTTGCATCCTTATATCAGTATATTTTGGTGTGAGTTACATGCCAGTATTTTAATTACTGAAATTTTATAATAGGTTTAATACCTGTTAGGTAGATTCTCTCCAATGTCATTGTTTTCCCGACTTAAAATATATCCATTGTATTGATATATAGTTTACATGCAATAAAACGCACCATTTAAATGTTTTTTTCAGTGAGTTTTGTCAAATGTATATATCCATGTCACCACCACCACAATCAGATCTATGTAACACTATAAAAACTCGATGTCTTCCCTATTATCTTGTACTATGCCACTAAAAACCAGAGTCTCATGATTTTTTTATTATTACTACTTACAAATAATCTTTGGAGTACTTTGGTTAAGTTAACCAACCTCTCTCCAGTCCACCAAAACTAACAGAATCATGTTTGAATTTCTATTGCGTTTTTGATAACAAAGGTAGTGAGACTGGGGACCCTCAACTGTCATGTACAACATCACAATACCTGGCACAATAGTCAGCATTTCATCAACTGGATGCTCACTAAGATCTTACAAGTAATGCATGCTGTTTACACATGTGTAGAAAGCAAACACAAACCACCAGCCTCTTCCCTTTCGTCTCCTCTAAATTTCATTTTATATTTAAAATAAAATGATCACATGGTGTACACTTTCCTACAATTTGCATTAACATAATTTGCATTTTCACTTAGAGACTTCCAGTCTGCTTGGGTTGCTTTTACAAATTATCATAGATTGGATTGGCTTAAGCCTTGGAAACATATCTGTTTCCTAATTCTGGAGGCTGGCAATCGGAAATCTGGGTACTGGTATAGTTGGATTAGGTGAGCACACTTCCTGGTTTAGCAGAGAACAGGAGAGCAGAGAGAAGAAACAAGCTCTTTTAAAACTCTAGTCCTGTCACTGGCTTGACTTAATCACCTTTAAATACCCTCTCTCCAATATCATGACTTTGGGAATTAGGGTTTTAATATGTGAATTTTGAGAGAACACAAACATTCAGTGCACAGAGACCTAAGGCTTTTCTAATGTCAGTATATTTAAAGCCTTTGGTTTTCTTTTCAGTATCTCTGATCGTCCCCTTCTGTAATTATTTAAAAACAAGTTCCCTGCTTCTTGGCATTTCCTGTCCCTAAAGTTTCTCTTCTCCCTGCCCTGCCCTCCCCTCCATTTCTTTCCCCCAGTCTTTCGCTCACTCTTTTACTGTTACAGACAAAACTGCCAAATTGCCATAAACATTCCTGGTGTGTCTTTGGTAGCACATGTTGGCATTTCTGCCAATAGAGCCCCAGAAATATGATTTTTATGTCAAAGGAAAAGCACATATAAAAATTTATAGCAACAATCTCAACTTTTCCCCCCAAAGTTTCCACCAATCTATATGTAAGTGCCAGTTTGTACAATTGGGCCATTCTCTCTGGGCCATGTTAAATAGATTAATTTTGGAAAAATAGGACCTGCTTGGGAAATGTTACTTTTCTCCACTTGTTCAAGAATTTTTGAGTATTTTTCAGTAGAATTTTATAGTATGTATAAATATTCTGCACATATCTTAAATTTATTCCTAGGTATGTCAGATTTTTTTTTTTCTTCTCCCCCTTTGACTGAAATCTTTTAAACTGTCAAATAATTTGGTGGCTTTTTTTTTTTTTTTTTTTGAGGGTGTGTGTGAAGTGTTGTATGTCTGTCTGATTCCATTGTTTGGCTCCTCACTTAAAATGATTATTTCCTTATCTATAATTTATCTCAATTGATCATTCATTGTAAGTGGGGTGTTCAAGTCCTCTGGTATTATTGTGTTATCAATCTCTCTCAAGTTCTATTATTGTCTTTTGTATTTTGGTGCATCATATTTCAGCACATATAATCTATGACTGTTATTTCTCCTTGCCATATCAGATGCTTAGTCATAAAATAGTGTCCTTTGCTATCTCATTACTTGTCTTCATTGGAAATCTATTTTATCAGATTAAGTATAGCTCTTTCGATTTTTTTTTTTTTTGGTTGCCACTTGCTCATTATAACTAACTTGTAGCCTTTAACTCAAACTCTATGCATGTTTTTGTTGGGAAGATGATTTTCATGTAAATATCAAAAGGTTAAACTTTTGTTTTGAAATGCATTCAGCCACCTCACACCTGTTTTGGTGTGTTCAGGCCATTTACATTTAAGATGATTTTTTTTTTAGAGTTGTTCTTGGCTTTGTGGCCAAGAAAGCATCAAGTAGGAATGTGTTAGCCAAGATAAAGGGTTTGCTTTTTATTTCTTTTTTTTTATAATGATAACTTATTTTTACATCATTTTGTACATTTTTTTTAAAATCTCAATTGTAATCCCCGTGGGTTTCCCATCACCGAGTCACCCATGTGCCATCACATTTAAGATGATTTTTAAGACATAGTCATTGCCTTTTTGTGATGGTGTTTTGTTTTGGGTTTATCTTTTTTATTTTTGAGGACTTACTGTTTAAATTCCATTTTCATCATCTTTTTTCTACTGGGGTTAGCATTTAGTGGCTTATGATATGAAAACATTTAACATAGCTATATTTACATCATATAGAGTGTGTGTGTGTGTATAATATTATGGACTGTTTTTAAATATTAATTATGTTACCAACCACATGATGAAAGTTTTACCTTTTCTGATGGCTTTTTAGGTGATTTTCTTAAGTTCCCAATCTGCACAGAGATAGAATGATATACTGGTTGACAACATACTTCTAGAACCATGGATTCAAGTTTTGCCAACCTTGGGTATAAATTAATTTTGCCTTAGCTTTTTTCAGATATAAAGTGGACTTAATAACCATTCTTCACATAGGCTTTTTAGGGTCAATCAGATGCTTAGAACAATACCTGGTACTTAAGAAGCACTCAGAAATATTAACTAGTAAGTTGCTCTCTGAACGTTATATGACCAAACTCTTTTAGTACTACTAATTTTATAGCGGAGGCACATCAAGTTCTCAGGGCTTGAATGTGGTTTTTTAGCAAGCAAGAACCTCTTCTTTACATACAGTTCAGTGCTGGGTTTGTGCAGAAAAGCAAAGATAAGTCAGACTGAACCCACTAGTAAGGAACTTGTAAGTCCAATGGGCACTTACATCAAGGATCATGAGTGAAGTCATGGAAAACAACAGGCATCAACAATCATGGGCTTTAGAATATTTCCTGTATTTGAATTGCTATTTGAATTGCATTCAACACAGTAGTACCTATGTTTTCATCAAAATGGAATTAGTTTTACTTGCTAGTTGAGAATTGCTATTTTGGTCAGAAGAAATAGATATAAGCATCTAATTCAGAAGCTAGATCTCTTGTAGGAGCTTAATAAGTGGTGGCCGTAAGTATAGTCTCAAGTAGAAAGGGATAAATAAGTGTCCCAAGGGAAAAGTTCATATGAAGAACACATAAAGGTACATGAGTTTCTGTCACACTTGCTAGAGGGGAGAGAGAATCAGGAGCCCAGGAGTCAAGACCCTAAAAGCAGCAACATGGGCAAATATCCTGCTTGCTTTATAAACACAGCTTCAAGAATGAATGTCCTCTTTCTCCCTCTACCTGGAACATGGAAGCCTCCTCAGTACAGAAATGCTGAGGCCAGCCCCGTGACAAAGGTCTCTGGCAAGGAAAGCAGGAAGTTACTGGCTTGGGAGGAGTTGGTGCTTTCAGGGCCTCTCCATTTATATCTGAAGTAACATATTCAGTTTGTTTATTCAGGAACTATTTGTGGATTTGTCCTACATGTTACAGTGCTATGTGCTGGCCATCAAGGCTTTGTTGATAGGCATGGTGTGATAACATACATTGGCAGATGTGTGTATGAGCCTGTACTTCTAAAACATGCAATGTTGTGAACCTCCATTACCTCAGTAATATAGTTATATAAAATATAAAATATTTTATTTTCAAATAAAATTTTGAAAAAGAAACTGAAATTATACCTTTATATACTCCGATTCCGTGAAAGTATTTTCCCACAGAAAGCAACAAACCAAGGGCTAGCAGGGAATTACTATTACAGTTAAAGTGACTGGGAAACCAGTTTTTTCAAGAACAATTATCTAAATTGTACAGAATTACAAAAGGCCCCAAACAGCTAAAACAATGCTCAGGGAAAAGAAGAAAAATGGAGGTATCACACTTCAGGCTTCAAACAATATTACACAGCAGCAGTAATCAAAGCAGTATGGTACTAGAGCAAAAACAGAAACTCAGACCAATAAAGTTAAAGCCATACAAATATTGGCAGTTAGTCTTTGACAAAGAAGCTATGGCCATACAACAGAGTACAGAGAGTCTTTTTAATATATGGTACTAGGGGGCCCTCCCTGATGTGGCACAACAGGTTAAAGCACAGCACTCCGAAGCTATCTAAAATTACTGCAGCATAAGTTCGATCCCCAGCCAGGGAAGTGACCCACATGGCACAGCAGCCCTCTCCTGACCCACCCGCTGCTCCCCCCAGCAGTGTGTTTCAGTCTGTCTGCTTGTTCTGCTCCCTGCTCTGTCTCTGGTGAATGCTCTTACCCACCACACCTCTGGCCTGTACCCCAGTTCTTGTATGCATAATTAAATAAATCTTTAAAAGTAAAAGAAATGGTACTAGAAGGCATGGGTAACCACTAGGAAAAAATGAAACAAGATCCATATTGTGTTCCATACACAAAAATTAATTAAAAAATGGATTTAAAATCTGGATATAAAAACTGAAGCCATAAAGTACTTGAAAGAAAATGTAGGAGACACTGTAGGATAGGGCATCTACCACAAAGATATATTTGGGACATGACCACAACAGCAAGGGAAACAAAAGCAAAAGTAAACAAGTGAGATTACATTAAATGTAAAACATTTTTCCTCAAAAGAAACCATCACGAAAACAAAAAGGCAATATTTTCTGACCATGCCCCTGGTAAGGGTCTGGCCTCCAAACTTTACTAAGTTCTTACATGAGCCAGCAACAAAGAAACAACCAAGGACCTCAGCTTTCTTTTCTAAAGAGGACATTCAGATGATCTATAGACATGAAAAATTGTTCAACATTATTTATTATAAGGGAAATGCAAATTAAAACCACATTAAAATACCACCTTACCCCTGTGAAAAGGCCCATGTGAAAAATAATGGAATTTTAATTGTTAGTGAGGTGGACCCAGCAATACCTCTATTAGGTAGTTATCCAAATAATAACTGTATTTCAGAGAGATCTAGCTACACCTATACATAGCAGCACAATTGCTAAGTCAGGGTCCTTCAATAGATAAATGGATAGAGAAATTGTGGAATATGTACTCAAAGGAATTTAACACATCTGTGAAGAAAGACGAAATGGTAGCATTTGGGACAAAATGGATGGACCTTAAAGTGATTGTGCTGAGTGAAATTAGACAAAAAGTGAAGATAGATATTAGATGGTTCCACTCATCTGTGGTCTATAAATACCAAAAAAAACATTCATATGCAAACATCAATAGGAATACATCTTGAACTCAGCAAAAAAAGAATATAATGGTACCAGGGAAAAAGGAGAGAAGTGTGAGGCACATGGGATGTGGTCATGGGTGGTTTGATGGAGGGTGAAAAAAATTAATTGCTATATATATTTTTTAATTTATAATTTTTATAAAAATAATTGAATCCTATAATCAATCAATGCAGAAGTCTGTATATATCCTTAAATAAATTATTAGGTATTTTTCATCCTATTTCCCCAATATGACAATCAAAACTTAGTGTCTATATACTCTCTTGTTTTGCTGATAGTTTATACTCATGAGAAAAACAAGGAAAGTGTTCTTCACAGTCAGGAAATGAAGACTCACAAGCCCAACATGTATGGAAATAAAAGAGAGCATTGAATTAAGTTTTGTTTGTACAGTCATTTCCTTTTAAAGGCATTCATAATGTGAGATTGAAAAGGAAAATCAAGTTTAAAGGAGTTGAACAAGCAAAAGGTGAGTTATTGGTATTAATAAGTACTTCTACAAGGAGACTGAAATAAATTGAAATCTGTGTTTGACTTTGTGAAACAGTTATTAAAACCACATAGTTCACCTTTAAAAGATTCATTTAAGGCAAATGGAACATATATGAACAACTGAATTAACATTTATTTATATCAATTATAAGTGTATTTCCTTTGTCATCAAAACATTTTTCTTTTTGGTATAAATAATGTAAAATATCTTGCTACATAAATATTCATGTCCTTTTCCATAAGACATGAAATTGATCCTAATAAATCATTCATGTGTATCACTTTATTTATAGGATTACCTTCTGAAACTGTTTTATTCTTCAGACTTAAGTGCTGTTTATATTTCAAAAAAAAATTTTGCAATGTAAAATTTTTTAGGGGTAAATATTCATTCCATATCAAGTTACATAATCTATTATATGGTTCAATAAATGATTTATACATTTTTTAATGGCAAGAAGGAGATATTTACATTAAATATATTGACACTTGACTTTTATTTTCTATAAGTTAGTTCCTTTAAATCAAAGCTATAAATGGTACTTTTGTAAAGCTACTTATAAGGTTCCCCTCTTCCAAGGTAAAGTTACCAGTCTCTTTTATATCCTTCAAGAGATAGCCTATGTACATACATATATCTATAAAACCTAGAATGTTTAGGTATATTCCCCCTCTTTTTACACAAATGATAGCCTGCAATACGTACTTTTCTATTTCTTACTTCTTTAACTGAAAAGGTCTTTGGCCCAATTCAAAGGAGATAGGTAAAGCAATTTCTCAGAAATGGCTCCCAGCTCCATTTTAAAATGACTTCACAGACATCACTATTCACAGTACAAAGGACAGAACATGGATATGAAAGACTTGGCACACCCTCTTTGGGTGCCATCTTTTCATGAGGCAGTTTTTTCCAAATGGGTGCAAACTTTATGATACTTCTGAGTTAAGAGCTTTACCTGCTGTGCTATAGACATAATTCATTTGACACTGACTTTCCGGGTATCATACCAGCTTGGTCTTTTCAATTCTGTTTTTCTATGTTATTCTCTTTGCCCTCAGTTCATTAAGCTTACTTACTCCAAAGACATTACTTGACTTCAAACATATGGACGTATTTTTTAATAGCATTTTTACGCAGTGTTTTTTTGCTCTGTGACACATTTACTGTCTGTAGTAGCCTTATAAGGTAGGTATATCATTATCTGTCTTAGAGGTAAAGACTTCAAGATGTGGACAGATGAAGCAGCTGTCTACCACTGAGGGTCCACTCTGGGATTTGCACCAGCAGTTCCTGACCTCAGGCCCGTGCTCTGAACTGTCCCTTCATGGCACATGCCTTTCTGGACCAGGCTGGAGCCTGTTCCATCTTTATGGTTGCCCACCATTCCCCTCATAAAAAACTACTCATGGATCTTCCTTCAGATAGTTCCTCCCTTCCCAAAGCCCAGAACTTCAGAGTTTGCTCTCTCTCTCTCTCTCATTGGTTCCCATGGTTGTTCTGTAAAATATAAAATGGATCTATAGCCAGGATTAAATTATTATGCACCTGTAAACGTTAGAGAAATTAGAAATTAGAGAAAGGAGAGCAGAGAAAGGTGAAGGGAAGATCTTGACAAAGACAGTTCAGGGAATCCTAAATAGTTTTTGGCTTGCGTGGGATGTACAGATAAAAACAGAGTTTTTAGAAATTACTATGCATGGCTATTCAACGAGTACTTACTTGCACTATGTAGGAATTTATTTGGAATGTGTGATTTCCTCTGAGCTTTGCCATTTTGCATCTATTTTATGAGTCCATCTCTATGTTGTGGTTGCATTGAAATAAAGATCTTTCTGGCCTAGCTGATGGTTTTCTGGTACATCATAAACCTAACAGCCTAGTAGATACACCAAGTTTTCATTACTCATAGAAGTAATAAAGGAATCCCGGAGATCACGAACAGATACAACCAGATACTGGAGAAAATGCTTCCAGGTCTGTAGTTGGCTCACAGCCTAGTGTTAGAATGTCTGGTCTGCCATGTGTTGAGCTCTGTCTCTGGTACTTTTTAAGTTCTCTTGTCCATTCTCTATTTTTTCTCTTTAGGTTTGACTCACGCTGACGTGCATTCCAGGATGCTTTGTTCTTGGGATCAGACCTGACCAGAAGTTGACCTCATGAGTACACCGACCTCTCCAGCAGCCATGCTGCTCCGGAGGCTGAGACGGCTCTCCTGGGGCAGCACGGCCCTCCAGCTCTTCATCTTGACCGTGGTGACGTTTGGCCTGCTGGCCCCTCTGGCCTGTCATCGTCTTCTGCACTCTTACTTCTACCTGCGCCAGTGGCACCTGAACCAAATGAGCCAGGACTTCCTGCAGCAGAGCTTGAAAGAGGGCGAGGCTGCCCTCCACTACTTTGAGGAGCTGCCCTCGGCCAATGGCTCAGTGCCCATCGTCTGGCAGGCCACCCCCCGCCCCTGGCTGGTCATCACCATCATCACTGTGGACAGGCAGCCGGGCTTCCACTACGTCTTGCAGGTGGTGTCCCAGTTCCACCGGCTGCTTCAGCAGTGCGGCCCCCCGTGCGAGGGGCACCAGCTTTTCCTGTGCAATGTGGAGCGCAGTGTGAGCCATTTTGATGCCAAGCTGCTGTCCAAGTACGTCCCTGTGGCCAATCGCTACGAGGGTACGGAGGATGATTACGGCGACGACCCCTCCACCAACTCGTTTGAGAAAGAGAAGCAGGACTATGTCTATTGCCTGGAATCCTCCCTGCAGACTTACAACCCGGACTATGTCCTGATGGTGGAAGACGACGCCGTGCCAGAAGAGCAGATCTTCCCGGTCTTGGAGCACCTTCTTCGGGCTCGCTTCTCTGAGCCGCACCTCAAAGATGCCCTGTATTTAAAGCTCTATCACCCCGAGCGGCTGCAGCACTACGTCAACCCTGAGCCCATGCGGATCCTGGAGTGGGTCGGCGTGGGCATGTTGCTGGGGCCCTTGCTCACCTGGATATACATGCGGTTCGCTAACCGGCCCGGCTTCAGCTGGCCGGTCATGCTCTTCTTCTCCCTGTACAGCATGGGGTTGGTAGAGCTGGTGGGCCGACACTACTTTCTGGAACTGCGACGCCTGAGTCCCTCCTTGTACAGTGTGGTCCCCGCCTCCGAGTGCTGCACCCCGGCCATGCTCTTCCCAGCCCCTGCAGCCCGCAGGACCCTCACCTACCTGTCCCAGGTGTACTGCCACCAGGGCTTTGGCAAGGACACGGCACTGTACTCGCTGTTGAAGGCCAAGGGGGAACGGGCCTATGTGGTGGAGCCCAACCTCGTGAAACACATCGGCCTTTTCTCCAGCCTCCGGTACAACTTTCATCCCAGTCTGCTCTAGTGTGCTAAGAAATGCCTTTGTGAAGTCAGCCACTTCGTGGGGATTCCAGTGTCGAGCTCTGTATTTGGACATGGCTGCTGGCAGATATCTGGGTGTCTAAGGTTCTAGGGATGCAGGCACTGGGACAGTCGAGTCTCCCTCGAGTCCAGAAGCTGGCATTGCTGTCTCTCTGGACATGGCAGCAAGCCAGGCCCCCTCCCCCCACACAGCCACACACTGCCTCACGGGTCAGCTCTGCACAGCCACGGGGCATTTAAATACCGGGTGTATACTCCACTTGTTCCCATCTCTGCTTTGTGATAGAGCTTGTGACTGTAAAAGTAGATTGTGCACAGTGAATACAACTGTTGTAGGGTTTTCAGGGTAGAATTTGATGAAAAGTGAGAAATTTTTGAATGATTTCTCTCTCACCCGGCATGACAATGGATGTTATGTTTAGAGTATATGTCCAAGATGCCAGGTCCCTGTTGATAGACACCATTCGTTCCATTGGCCTGGTGTAATAAAAGCTGATAAAAGCCGTGCACTGCTTTGGAGGCAGGTGATCGGGCTTCTGTTCTGCGGCACTTTCTTTTCCACACATCTGTAGCTCGCTGATAATAGGCATCATTAGCAAGAACTATCAGGTATGACAAGATCTGGAAGTATCTTCTGAATTGTCTAAGCCAGACTGTCTAGTTTCAGTCGTGATTAATGTTGAAGATTTCTATCATATTCTGAGTCTTTGAAAATTGGACAGTGCAGAATGACATCGAATGGATAAGCTCTTTATTAATCGTCTATTCTTTTTTCCTCACTTTGCTGGTAACTGTTGACACTCATTTCATTTTTGGCTAGGTGGCATGATGTCATAGTAAATAAGTCATGAACAGTGAAGTCAGAAGACCTGACTTCTTACTTCAGATCTCTGCCATGTCCTCATGGTGTGAATTTGAGCAAGTCTTACCCATCACTGCACCTTAGTTTCTTTGCTTGGACAACTGGGACTGTGATAGCCACCTTTTAAAGTTTCCTTGAAGATGAAATGACAGATGATGCTCGGTCCGTAGGGGATAATGAGCACATGTTAGTTCTTTTCTCTACTATAATAAGTATATAGAGCTCAAGTGTCCTTGGATTAAGATATGATATGATACTGCTTAAAGTATGAGATGGGCATAGAGCTAATACCTGTGGAACAGCAGTTCCAAGCCAAATAATGTTCGTGTAGAAGCTGACTTTTTAACTGTAACATTGGAAGGGTCTGTAGCTCAGCTTTCATCTAGCCACAAATAAGAATTGTTCTTTCAAACCAGAAATGACCCAAGACTCTCCGGAACCTATTTGAAGACTTACATCTGAAAAGTACCTATCTCAAAAACTACAGGAAATCTCCTCAGACGAGATTCAACAAGTCCCTCTGTGAGGAGGAGTGACTATAATAGAATCCCAGCAGCGGTCAAGTTTGAGTCAGTGCCAGAGCTCCCATTTGTTTTTCAGTTCCCACAATGAGCCCAAGAATGGAGGGAAGACATGGGGTTCATCCCCACCCTTTACAGATGTGCAAACTGAAGCTCAGAAATATTAAATGTTCCCTTCAGGTCCACATTGCTGAACAGCAGCAGACTCATGACTGAACCATCACTCTTCTGACTTCCAAGCCCTGCATGGTTTTCTTAACCACCTTCATTTCATAAAAATCTATGTAGTCAAATCCTCTTTTGTAGGCTGGACTAAACAATGTCTCTGCAAACTAAGACGGTAGCAACTCACTGTCATGTTGATCTTGGGGACACACAGGCATCAGTATCAGGTGTTGTGTTGTTACAGTGAGCTGTTATCTTTCTCCCTGGAATGTCAAAGTGGTCAGAGCCACCAGCTGGCCTGCTGAGATGTTCAGATTCCACTCCTCCATTCTCTCCCAGTAATTCATGCACCCCCATGTTTGAGAACTGATCCACCCTAACCTAGACCTCACTTGAGTTTTGTTGCATTACTGATTGGATCTCCTCATGAAAATGTTTTATCCAGTGACAGAAGAGCTGCATCTAAGCTAGCCAGGGAATCGTTGCTGGTTAACATTTTGGCTCTTTCTAATTCAGTTATCTATTGCATGAAGAAGAGTCTCCCTGGCACCTTCATTTTGGATGACGAAGGCTGTCTTAGCCTTGTCTAATTGCTCTACGCAATAAGATGTCTTCTCCCATGGATCCTAACTAAAGTCTGCTGACCTTGGGCACATGCAGAGCAGGTCAGTGCTGCCTTCGTATCCCCACCCACTTCTAGATCATCCTCTTTTTTGTCTTTGATTTCTAGAGTCGAATTTTTGTACATTGTCCTCGATTTGGACAGCTGACAGCTTCTCACCAAAGCTGAAGTCATTCACTTCATCCTAAGCAAGGGTAGGCAGAGAACTAAAGTATCTCTTCCCCAAGTCAAGGGACATTGTTTCCCGGAGGTGAAGGTCTGTAACAGTCTGTTCACCACTCAGACTTTCAGTCAGCCCTAAAAAGGCCCCAACTGTGAATGAGTGTATTTGCATCGACTTATCAGTTCAAATAAAGGCAGCTGTTGTGCTGAGGCATCTTGAGAAGAGGTTTGTCATTCTCCCTTCTGTCGATGGATGAATTCTTCTGATGTGGCAAATGGTGCCTAACAGACACACCCATACATGCGACATTGAGGAGTCCCAGAAGTATGGGCTGATTGCTTAAAAATTCACAACTGGTTTTGTTGCATTTCTTAAATGGAAATATTTGCGTTGCACATTTTAAAAAAATGTTGTTTTAAGGAGAGAAATGATATGAATACAGCAGCACAACCAGAGAACACAAATAGGATTAATCTAATGATATGATTGCTTTCATTTCCCATGGATACCTTTCTAATTTGGGAGAATTTGTCTATTCGGGAGCTTAATTTGGGTAAAGTGGCATTCTAATTGGAGGTGATTATGGTGGGGGTTTTATATATATCATAATGTGCTGTGAATTACAGTAACATGATATAAAATTGGATCATTTTAAATCATATGAACCATTTGGATTTTTTTTTTCAAACAACAATGATTTTGCTGGGAAATGCTTATGAACTGGCACTGTTATTAAGATTATATTTTATCTCTGGAAGACATTTGGGGATGTGTCAAAGAGTTTGGAAAATAATTAGTCCTGATGGCAAAATGTACTTAATATATTAGTACACAGAGGTCACGTGCGGTCCCTTGCAGGTTACCCCACTACTTGGGCTGCAGCATAGCTGTGAATCACCATTCTGTAATGAATGGGGTTTTTTGACTTTGAATTGAATAATTTTTCTTGACCTGATAACTTACATAGACATATAAAAGAATAAACAGCTTTTTTTAAAAAAAATCAATGTAACATAAAGGGGTCATGACAGTGAAAATGTAAAAGCAAATGACAAATGTTTCAAGAAGAAACAATGGTTGGATGACTGTAGAACTAGGGTCGCTTTGAGAAGGCAGGAAGATGGGGGGAAGGACAAAAGATGTTGAGTGAGGCAGTAGGTCTCACATTTGTCACTGTTCTTGTGTGTCTCCAATTCCTTCATGTAACACATCTTTTATGTATAACCCACTATTACGAACACTTGCTAGGACCAGCCTGTGGAGAATTCAGGGGAACAAAACAATGGTAGTCAATGTTCTGAGTGAACAATGCATTACTTTGCTGAGACCTGACTTCCTATTGCATTTAGAATAAAATTCAAAGTCCATCATATTCACTCAGGCCAGATGTAAACTCTTTGCCATCATGTCTCACCCCCTGACCCTTGTCTCCAAGCTCTGACTTCAGTTAGAAGCTTCCTTTCAGTTCCTGTGGTTCTCAACACAAGCTCTCTGCAATGCTTGTTCTCTGTCTTAAATACTTTCCTTGACTGAATTTCCCTGTAACTCAGATTTCAACTCAATTTTATTTTAAAAATGTATTTATTTATGCATACAGAACTGGGGTACAGGTCAGAGGTGTAGGGTAGGTGAAAGGATTCACCAGAGACAAAGTGGGGAGCAGAACAAGCAGACTGACAAGTACACTATTGAGGGGAGCAGCGGGCAGGAGAAATCTGTTGCACCATGTGAGTCACCTCCCTGGCAGGATGGGATCAAAGTCATTTTGAAGCGGCTGCTGATAGCTTTGCATTGCTGCGCTTTAACCCACTGCACCACCAGGGAGGGCCCTCAACTCAATTTTAATCCCCACAAAGAATTTCCATCTCCTTCCCTATCCCCAGTTCAATAATCAAGTTACCCAGTTTGATTGCTATCAACAGTTGTCACTACCTAAAATTCCCTTATTTGTTATTTTGGATTTTTCCTTCCACATCCCCCGACACCCCCTTAGAAGTTCCATATTATCAGGGGTTTTCTGCTGTGTCCCCCAAGCATAGCATATTTCCTGGCACATCGTAAGGAATGAAAGAGAGAGGAGAGGGGGAAAGGAGGGGTTAGAGAAGTAATCCAGAGTGGAGCTGTCTACAGAAAAAGTAATACTAAAGAACAAATGGGCTGAAGGAGAAAATTAGGAAAACAGAGTGGGGGCCAAGTGGTGAGGGCTGGTTAGGAAAGTACAGGTTGAAAGCTTGTACATACATTCCAAGCAGAAGGGTAGCAAATGCCAAGAGCTTTTTACAGCACCACAGAGCTGCTTTTTTCTTTGTCACGGCTTTGTTTTCAGCGTGTGTGGATGGGGGTTGTTGAGTGTGGGGTCCCTGTTTGTTACTTTCAGGGGAAGGCTGGTTGTTTTATCAAGCTGTATCTATCTGCTGAATCTACCTGGTATCGCCAACGGGAATCATCTAGATGTCAACACCACCCACAGGGCTCCAGCTTGTGCTAGGACTATTGGATAAGAAAACTGGAAAGACGTGACAGCTGTAGACTGTGCCAATGAACTCAAGGTATATTAGTGACAGGTGAGATGCTAAGCCTCACTATGTATGTCTGGAGGACAGAGGTCTTTCTGCAGGAAAGCATTATGCCATTTAACATAAACCAAGAAAGAAGAGGTACATATCCCCAGAGACTGGAAGGAAGAAGGAAAGTCTTTTCTTAAATAATATAGTAGTTTATTTTTATATCATTTTGTGCCTTTTCCCATCTCAGTTCACCCATGGTTTTCCCATCACCAATTCACCTGTGTCTGTCACCATAGTCCAGTGCACTTCTCCCCACCGCCCCCACCCACACCCCCCGCCATTTTTGATCCCATTCCCCATTCTACCCCTGTAAAATGTCTCTGGTATATAGTTGTTCATTATTATTTTTTCCCTCTGGTCCTTTACACTCCTGCTATGAGTGAAACCACCTGGTATTTTTCATTTTCTTTCTGGCTTGTTTCACTAAGCCTGATCCATTCCAGCTCCATCCTTGTTGCTGCAAAAGGCATGTGTTTATCTTTTTCGATTGCTGAGTAATATTCCATTGTGTATATGTACCACATCTTTTTAATCCAGTCATCCACTTTTGGGCATTTGGGTTGATTCCATGTCTAGGAAAGTCTTTTTTTTTTTTTAAGTGTTTATTTATGCATACAGAGCTGGGGTACAGGCCAGAGGTGCAGAGGCAGTGAGAGAACCCACCAGAGACAGCGTGAGGAGCAGAACAGGCAGATTGATGAAGTACACTGCTGAGGGGAGCAGTGGGCCGGTCAGGAAAGGTCTGGGTCACCCCCAGGGCTGGGATCGAACTCATGCTGAAATGGCTTTAGCTTCTCAGTGCTGTGCTTTAACCCGCTGTGCCACCAGGGAGGGCCCTAGGAAAATCTTTTTAAGGAGCATTTTCCTGGCACCTGACTTTTCATGGTTTTGTTTGTATAGCTTTGTTTAAGTGTGGGCAAGTTGAGTTCCCTGCCAAACACTACCGGCAACATGTAAGACAAAGAATGTAGCTCAACAACCCATGCTGTCTGTACCTAGAAAACAACACAAACTCTGTATCACTGTGACCAAGGGCCTGGGTGCCTGTGTAGCCAGCTGTGCAAACTTCTGAAAACACATAACTGGTCTGTGGAGCTTCCTTTTTAGCAACATGTTTAGCAATTTCTCTAGTCCTTCTCAACCATACTCCCTTATCAGCCCCAGCACTTACGGGGTCCTTAGTCAGCTGAAGCTTAGCCAGAGAAGTTTGGCTTCCTTCTAACTCCTCCTCCAGTGAAGTTTATGATAAAGAAGACAGGATTCTATCTTCACCCTGGAGTAGATACATAAAATCTATACATAAACAAGAAAATGAAAAGGCTCTACATTTTTAAAGCTGTTAAAAGAATAGCATATCTGCTACATTCAAAGTCATAGTTCATGTATTCTGAAAAGTGCTATATCAAACAAGTTAACCAGAAGCCAATCTAAATTTAGTGTTTTATCCTCTTCTTAATAATACCTAAGTCCTATTCAAATTATTCAAGCTTTTTTCGCTTTTAGTCCAGCTCAACTGCTAGCTGAAATGCACCAATCTGCAGAAACATTATCATATTTGAAACAGAAAGACTGAAGAGATTAGAATCTCATGGTTTTTCATTTTACCAGTTAACACCATGGAAAGAAAAGAACTGCTTCATCCTAGCTAACCCCACATTATCATACTTAAACATTAAGTGTTTCACACTTAAACATTAAGACATAGTAACATTCAGAATTGCATTTCAGGAGGCTTTTAGGACAAATTACTTCTGTCCAAGTGTCATGTCTCAAATATCAGTTTAGAATTATTGAGTCAGATGGGGAGACAATTACTGAGCTGAGACCCAAAGATGAGTGAATAAGATATGCTTTCTTCCTCTCAGAACGTTGGCATCCTATGGGAAGTTAGCAGGTAAGTTCTGGGATGTTGCCTATAAATTGCCCCAAAGTACCAGGACTCGAAATCAACCCCACCTTCCTCACCTCCTCTACAACCTGTTTTTAATTTTTTTTTAATTGAGTTAACATTGGCTTAAAACACTGCCTATGGCTTACAGATACAGGATCACACCCTTCAGGTGGATGTTACCAAATCTACCAGGGCACCCACAGAGTCCACTGTGCCTTCTCCCCTGCAGCCTCTTGTCTGGAAGATGACAACAAGTCTTCAAACACAAAGGAAATATTTGACATGAATGTCCAAAAAGACTCTGTCCACAAAAGAACACACCTTGCTGGCAGCAACTCGCCACACTATCTTTAAAAAAAAAAAAAAAAGAATAAAAATAAAAAAGCTGCACCCAAGCTGTGCTATTATTCATTGCCATCTTGCAAACAGAAGGTCGTTGATTCCCCCAGTGGAGGAAGGATTATGAAGTGGTGGCTCCCTCCCTCACACCCTCCAGGGGAGAACTGAAGGGTGGTGGCCTCGCTCCACTGACTTGCTCCCTGTTCCCTCCAGGGGAGAACTGAAGGTTCCCTGCTAGTGCATCACCCCTCCCAAGTTGTGGCCTTGGCTTTTCTTGTAGAAAGCCTCTTCTTCCTGTGACTCATAGTTTCCAAAGCTGAGGACAAGTTAGAGCCTATCTGGAAATTCTCTTGTCCTCCTCATGTGGCAGGTAACATCTGCTACAATTGTGAGTGAGTATGCCTTTGAATGCTGAGGATTTAATAAAAGGCCATATATGTCTTCTACTTACTCTCATCGCTGTTGCCATATGTTGAGCGTGACCAGATATAGGCAGTAACACAATGGCTACCTGTGTGACCATATACGGGCAATAGCACAATGACCTGGACCGGGCCTTCCATCCAGGTGTACAGGTCAGCTTTCTAGAATCTGAACCTAAAGCATATATAAGAGACACTTTCCCCTACTGCACTTGCAGTAGCTGCGGGAGCAATAAACTCTACTTATTGAAACTTTCTGCCTTCCGTCTTTCTTCCTTGTGGCTGGTCACAGAAATCAGGACAAAACACCAATAGAATGTCTCCTATCCTGAAGACTGAACCCTTTCTAAAATTAAAAAAAAAAAAGTTCAATACCTACTGCATTAAAAGAGCATTGGCCAAAGTCCTAAGTCTGGCTCTCAGGCTGCCTGACCAAACCACAACTCCACAAACTGCAATATTTCTTAATTCACAGCAATTGTGACAACTGAACTACTGTAACCCCTGCCACAGAGGAGTCCTGGGTAGGAACTAACTAACAGAAACAACCCTCAGTTATATGGGAAGGCCTGAGTGTTCAGCAAATTGAATTGTTAACTGATTAGAAAGCTTCTTGAGCTAGTAGCTTCCAATTATCACCAGTCCCAAAAGGGTCTGCTGCCTGGTGATTGTAAGCCAGTGAATACAATATCCAGATGTGGTAAAACAGAGCAAGAACTGATGGCTTGAAAACACTGAGAAGCTGGACTCCTGTTCCAAAGCAGCTTCCTACTTGGCTAGGAGGGTGGGGAGGGAGTGGGGGAGCAATTTCATCATTAAACAAGATAAAGGTGTGGTTAGGGACTAAGTGTTGGGGGCGACCAGATGCTGCAATAACACAACTACAGTGGGATTAGATAAGGGCGATAATAAACTGGGCCTCACATCCAAGGGTGATAATTAACTGGGCCTAGCATCCGGGAGATACTGGTGGGATGAACTCACATCAGGGGGCACAGCGATGAGTCACCCTTTGGAATCTGAACCTAGAATCTATATAAGAGGCCCTTTTCCCCTATAACACTGGCAGTAAGTAGCTGTGGACCCCACCCTAGGGGCTCAGTCTCAGCTGCTGCCAGGGAACAATAAAATCTACTTGCTCAGTCTTTCTGCCTCCT